TACCCGGAAACTGGTTTGAGGCTAATTAAGAATTACTTGGGCAGGAAAAGTCCCTGTAAAATTTCAGCTTTCTAGCTTTCCTAATCCCCGAGTCAGCGACTTACCTGCGAAAAACTTTCACGCACGCGGGCAAGAGCGCCTATTCCGGAGATGAAGGCCTGCCGTCGGGAGAAAAAATTTCTTAAGACTGCCCAACGGCGGATGGCGGGAGTTTGAATGTGGCAGGTGAAATTAGGGTACTATGTGGTGGGTTTCGTTTGAGCCAGGGTAGGGGGCTAGGAAAGGTGAATTTAAGGAATAAATGGCGTAGAACCTTTGTCGATTGTCTAGTTCAGTGCATTTGCTTTTTGGGATGATGAATGGAAAGGATGAGGAAGTGCGCCCGCGTTTTTACCGTCCATATTTGGGGTAGGGAAAGATAAAACACTGTTTGCCTGCACAGTGTTTTTATAGTGGGGATGGAGAGGAGCCCAGATGTTGTTTGCGGGCAGGATTTGGAGACAGGAAAGACAATGGGAACGAGGATACAAGTCGGCAGCTCGAGGCAAGAACTGGAGACAGCAGTAAAGAGAAAAAGAAAACGCCACAAATAAAAGTAAATTAAAGCAAATCTGACTCTATGAATAAATGCAAAAGAAACTGTGGTTCTGCTCGTGGATACTGTTCCACAAAAACGCGTCGTCAGTATGGAACTTCCCTACTAATGAAGCTGACGTTTAGTTAAAGCTGAAGGTAAATAATTTCCGTCGCAAACTATGAGTGAGCAAAAACAGGGAAAAACAATGCACGGGGATGAAGTCAGCCCTTACTTTAGTAAGGTTTGAATGCAAAAATAAATAACAGCGTGCACCAGAATAGCCGTGCGATCTTGTGCAATTCCGTCCACCGAAAGATTGCCTGCTAATTATTTTCACTGCTTTGTGCTTTGGTCTGTGCAAAAGTAGTTGAAGTATTAAAAAATAGTTAAAAATTTCATGCATCGGTACGTGAATGCGGGGTGAATATCCTTCCAAAATTTCAATCCTTAATTTTTATAC